AATCATGTGGCCTAATAAGACCGTGCTTCTTATGACCTTTTTTTTATGTTGATACACCGATACACTAGCCAGGTGCAACTTCAATTTATTTTTTAATGCAACCCAATTTTTTTTTTTTTAACCAATCGATTCCTATTATTATTCTGCGTATAAAAGTACTAATCCAAGGTCATTGAAATGTCGATACTTTACAAGATATTTGACATTTTATATCGTTACTTAACATGTACAATAGTTGTCAACTTGTTGTAGTATTCTGTGATCAAATTGATATAGTTGTGTAGTTTCTCATAATTAAGAAAAAAAGAGGATTTAATCTCCTTTTTATCATTTTCCTAATTGGTATGAATACTTTTATACCTTCTAATTGTAAGATAAATGAGATCGTTCTACTATGAGATAAAATAATAACAATAATAATAATAGAAATTTTTTACATGTTTTAAGAAAGATATCATTTTATGGACGTGAAAATCTTATTAAGAAAGACGACAATTAAATATGTATATGTTTGTATTTATGTGAGCATATATCGTGCAACCGATTATGGAAAATGAGCTCAACTTTTGCTAGTTAACGATGTCAGACTGACATTCATCTGCTTATTTGATCGTATGTGTGTGTATATATGATTATTCATCGCATGCTTTCTATGACGAGTTAATAAAACGCTCTCACTTTTTATACTCTAAATCTTAGAATTTTCAAGATACGGGCTATAAACTGTCTTTATTTTGGACAAGCCAATTTTTCAATTTCAACGTCAATCGCAAATATAGAATTAAAGTATATACGTTTACTTCGTAAACGAATTTAATATCGTCTAAACGTGTAAATTTACATATATCGTAGAAAGATTTAATCTCAAAACTATTGAATATATAAACGTTCTCTCGACGAGTTCGATATTTTTACTTTATTGGATGTTTTTCTGTTTAGTTATTCAAAAATACAAATATTTACTTACGTTTATCCGTTTTTTTTCTCTTTTTGTTTATTTTAGTTTTATTATCGAACATAAAACGCGAACGCGGAGAGATCAATTTTGTTCGATTTGTTTGCGTTAATCGCACTCGAGATTAAAAAAAGAAGGAATCTTTCGGTATCGCGTGCTTACTCGAAACAAACTGGAAACAGAACGAACCAACAACTACCCTCTCCCCCGTTTCCCTTTTAAAACGATGAATCACTATGTTACCAAGGGTAACCACTGTGTTCCATGCGAAACAAATGTATAACAGTCCCATGTAACACTCGAGGAACCCAAATGACCCTTCATCTGCCGTCGTTTGAATTACCTAGCAGCAATCCGGTAGTTCAGCCATATACAACCTACGATGACTCACAAATGACAATAGTTTTAATATAACATACGGGAGGAATATTTCTTTACTTGACAATTTGAAAAAAATATAAACCCTCATACAAATTCAAACCAATGATATTAGATGGGTGGACAAAATTTATTGGAATTTTTCTTTATTTAAAATTTGCCTCTTTAAACGATTGGCACGAGCGATCGATCATTTTAGGTTGGTAGAAAAATATATATATATAATTGGAAATTATTATTATTAAATATTTAAATATTAAATTAAAAATATTCCAAACAAAATTTTTTTTTTAATTTTATTAATAGTTATATTTTATTCAATTATGATCATACAATAAATTATTGAGAAGGGTAAACTATCAAAAATATAATTTTGTTGTTATTGTTTAGTATTGTCGTATTGTTAGTCCCCTTTGATTGATCATAAAAAAAGAAAAACACACACAAATCGTGACAAATTTATTGTATGAATTAAAATTATTTGACCCTACATTAAATTCGTTTTTCAATTATATATATATATATTATATAATACTAGAAATCTTTTCGAACCAATTTAAAGAGATAAAAGAAGTATCTTTAAACTTTCTTTTTATCTCTCAAAGTTTATCGAAAAAAATCTTCAAAATATATTTGTGCCAGGTCGATTAATCCGTTTGTAAAATCAGGCAAATGTTCGAAGTATATTGAGTGAAAAGTTTCAAGCTTTGGAGAATCAATTAGGAAGTTATATGGAAGACGGCTTAAACTCGATTACTCAAAACGTCATTACGGATTCCACGTGGTCACCGAGGCGCACTTTATCGGTGAGAAAACCACTCGGAGAAATTAATGGTTACCAGAAACCAGACGTGAAAGCAAGAAGTAATCCGAGAGGGAAACAAATGCAATACGAACCATCAGATATCTCTGACATGGTCGAAGATGTCTGTCTGTAAAACCAAATCGATCGAAATCTTTTGCTCTCGTTAGTATTTCAATTTTATTTAGTAATTTTTAACCATTTTTAACCATTTTAACATTTACTCTATATCTCTTTACTAATATGAATTATTTATTTTTATATAATATATTTCCAAAACATATATTTCGATTATCATAAAATCCAGTTCCACATAAGTTTTACGATTGTCCTTCCTTTTATCTATGAACATAGATATCACATACTTTATCCAGTCTCTCGTATATAAATTGGATTTTACATATCATATAGAAGATTTCCATCTAAAGATGTCAAGAGAAATATTTTTCAAATGATTCATGTTAAAAGAAAATTCAAGATTTGTATTTAATCGTAACTTTAATCATTTGTGGCATCTAAGAAGAGACGCTCCTTGTATTAAAATTCTTATCTTTTCGCGTGAGTTAAAAAACTTTGAAAATTCTTCGATGACTATAATAAAGACTATCGGAATACTAAAAAGTATTATACGAACTAAAAAGTTATTCAAGCTGAAAAGACCAGGATAGAATATAATACGCTTCTAGGTTTGAGAGAAGAACCTTCTTACCTAATATGTCTATCAAACTTAATATTTTCCACGCTTCAAAGATGGCCGTCTTTGTGTTAATTTACGTAATCTTGAACCATCCTCAACTACGAAGGAAAATAACTTAGGCATACACATATATATATATATATCTATAAAAACATCTACTAATATCTTACATATAACGAACTCGTTATTACGTAAACGAGAAGATACTTTTGCGGATGAGTACAAATTGATTCTAAGCCGTAATACCAATAGACTTAAATATGTTAAGATTCGTTATGAGAAAAGCGTAAAAAGATAAAATTATAAAAAGAATTTGTGGACTTTCCCTTTATCCACCAGTAAGATCAAATGACGAAAGAAAAACAACTTGGCGATAGTTTCCTATGATTACAATTGAATACAAACACTCGTCTTGAGTTTTAGAATATAATTAATTATAAGCGAAAAGAAGAGAGAGAGAGAGAAGTTCAATTGAATGATCTATTTACATTTTTCCATTCGTGAAAAGATGAGATAATTGAGAATATTAGAGTATGAGAATTTGTTAGATAAAAATTATTTTTCTAGTTTAACTTGATGTAATTCACGTAATAAAAGTTAGCTAATAATTTTATGCAATTTATATACATTTGTACGGGGTGTAGTACATGATTTCATCATATTTCATATTTTTCCATGGCTATCGAGTTATTTTTAGTGTATAGAACTCTACAATTTTTTATTTCTTCTTTTTTTTTTTTTTTTTTTTTTTTTTTTTAATGCATAAATTGACTCCACGTGAGATTCTGAATAAACAGAAGTATTTAGGCATAATTTTGAAAAATGATTAACGATATTTTGAAATAAATGTCTGGTTATTCATGCAATGAGTTGCATATTTATTTTTAATGATGTTAAAAAAAAATGTTAGAAGTAAAGGATTAATGGTTCAAGGTGAACCACATATTCGCGATCATATTTTCGTCGCAATTGCAATGATGTCACGTGTGTGTGAATTTACAAAAAAAAAATATGTGTATATGAAGTGATCGAGTTAAATGATATAAATAGTATTATGTAATGGTATTATCGATATAAATGATTGTGAACTTTCAATTTGGCATAGTTTTAATAGTTTAATAAGAATCTGGTATCAAGTGAATCAAAAGGAAAAAGGGAGTTCAAATGGAAAATCTTTATACTCGAGAGATTCAGGACAATGGATCATCCATAGTACGCCGAAATTTTCCTATGCAATTTCCCCGGAGACTCGAAAGGAACTTGGCCCGATTTTGGCCCGATATGCTAGAATTTGTGTTGATACTTCTTTTAACCAAAGAAATTTGATTAAAATTCTGACAAAAAAACTGTGAAGTCAATGTTTGCACGTTATATCTGCTTCTTTATTTTCTTTTTTTCTTTTTCCTTTGCGTTTTCATCATTTTTTACTTTTAATATAATTAACACAATTAAAAACTTTTTAAAAAGCTTTTTTATATAATGCATCGTAAAAGAAAGTGAAGGATCGCGGTATTAGCTATTTTGAAGAAAGAAAAAAAGTTACTAGGCTGCAGCGATATATTTGAACAAGATTACACTTGAAAGTAGTAAAGTAAAGAATAAAGTACTACTTGAATGAAGAAAAAGAAAGAAAAGGAAAAACCTTCAACCCTGAGAGTTATGTTTTTCGAATATGTATTCTTTCATGAACCGTAGTTCATATAGATTCTTTAATATTTAGATCACAAATTTTGTAAATATTAAAATTGAAAGATGCAGAAGAAAATAAAAAAATTAAAAAATGTGATTGATTAAACAATTCATAGTCGAAATATATAATTTTAATAAAGCAATATCAACAATATTTTAATATGAAAATAAAAAGAAACTTAGGTTATCAAAGAATAGATAACCGAAATACATAATTTTAATAAGTTAACATCAACGATATTTTCTGAGACTTAAAAGCAATTTTTTAATTTTAGAAAAGGGAGTAGTAATAAAAAAAAAAGGAAAGAAATAATAATATGTACCTGTCGTTGTTGTTATTGTCTCCTGCATCACCATCGACGAATTCCATCGTGACTTGATAATAAACTATTTTAACAACGAACATCGCGAGAATTATTAGCGCGCGACTATGCGTGCGATCTGGAGTACACTGACATTTCGTTTGCGTTTTTTCGAAGCTTTCGGAGCACGGAGTGTTAGAGAAATGAAAAAAAAAGATCGAAAGAGTCCGATAGAGAGGAGTAAGCGACTTTCCATGCCACCGACGAGAATGTATTTTAAAGGTGCGTGTGACAAATTCGTACGTGCATGTACACCTATGTGTGTGTATCATTCTTTGTTTTTTTTTGCAGTGTTTATGTCGTGTATTTGTATTTTATGTGTGTGTGGGCAAATGATTGCCATACAAGTGCATACTGAAAACGGATATCCTGCGTTCCGCTACCCTTATACCCCCCAACTCTCCCCTTTGTTCCCACTTCACTCAACTTTGATGCTCTTTCACTGAGTGACTGTATGTACACACAAATACGCGCACACAAATACGCGCACACATACATACATGTTGTACAGGAACTTTGACTAATTATCAATTCCTCTTCGCGGCATTTACTTTGTGTTTATTGAACGGATAAAATTTGGTATTGCGTTTGAAATTTTTCTGCCTAACGCAAGCGATTCAATTGATTTTCTATAAGCCAATATATTTTCGCATGTGTATACAAATATTACGTGTAGCTTTAAAATTATAAGATTATTCTTACTACAATAATTGTAATTTATCGTTTAAGGTTATACCAAATTTCAGGTACGAAGTAATTAATTTTGTGGCGATTAAATTAAATAAAATTTTTCAAAACTGCAGACGCGCAAGTGCGTGAGTTTAAAGTTTCAAGGCGTTATTAAAGGATAAGAAAACTGATGAGGCATAAATTTTGTCGATAAATTCGTGCTCTTGTTATCTAATCTCAAAAAAGATAATTTAGACTAAATTAAACGACTAAAAATACATAGAAGAAAAACAAAACAAAACAAAAATTAAAATTCGTACGAGAAGGGAGAAGGGTTTATAAATTGCGAGAAAGATAAGAAAAATTTTGATGGTTGTAAAAACCGCGATAACGTTAATACGCTGAACGAATAAATGAGCTTTGGATAATCTATTAAAATATTATAACATAATTGCGATCAGATCGTAGTCACATTTACATAAATTCATTTGTTAAATGACGTATTTATCATAATTTATTACATAGACGTATTTATTATAATTATTGTACATTTTTAACAAATCTGAAGAAGAATTTTCTCGACGTGATAATGTATTTGAAACGAAATTTACGTTGAAATGAAGGATAATTTTGAATTCATCTTTGGATCTACGCGTAACTAGGAATTTCTCGAGAATTTCAGAAGCTTTGTTAATTAGAGAAACGCCCAGATAGGTACATAATTTACTGAAACTTTTAATATATGTATATCCGGTTGAAATGAGAATTTCTTTAAAGTGAAACGAAATATAGAAATTCAACATAAGAGAAATGAATGATATCAATCAATAAGATTTGCACGTAGGAAACTCAATGAAATTGTAGTCTCGTATTCGATTTTACGACAGGCAAACTATAGTTAAAGCATATACAGGGTGTCCCATACGTAAATACAAAATATTTTAATGCAATTTCGATGGTATCAGATGACAAGAATATTTTGATGTTGTGGTCATTTTATTCTTTGTTTGAAATCATTAAAATTTTTGTAAAATATATTTTTTGCAGTATCATAATCGAAGGATATATTTAGGTATCTTGTATTTAGTGAGACATCTTGTATATTCTATTGTATAGATTGGGCTGTTGTTTTCGTTTGTACGAACGAACGTGCTTGGCTTGAAATTTCTTTCTTGATTCGATGAAACAGAAACTTCGCAAAGTACAATATATATCGATTAACTCGCTTGCGTTTAATTAAAGGACACTTTGTCCTTCTAAATTGTAGCAATTAGAAGTTCCTCAATGAAAGGCATCATTTTAAAAGTAAGAATTAACGACAGATAAATCAAATTTAATGATACTAAGGAATTGAGCATTCGATGCAATATGGTCGGTTGTTCTTCTAGAAAAGTCTTACGTACAATTTCATCCTTACTAAAGGAGTTTAACGGTTCGTACTTCTGCTCTTAAACTGAATGCGAAGTCTCTACGAAGTTCGCGTAATTAGACCAAAACCGTGTTAATAAGCAGACGCTGTTACGACCGTAGCAACGCGAGCTCAACTAATTAAGTATTAATCATTTCTAATCGTAACGCAAAAAAGAAAAAAAAAAGAAAAAAAAAAAGAAAAAGAAAGAAAAACTTCAAACTCTTTTTAAGATTTTTTTTGAACTTTCCTATATATATTATTTATAATAATATTCGCCCAAAAATAAAAAAATCTTTGTTTATTTATTTATAAACAAATAAAATATACGCATAAAAACGATTGTTATTTAAATGATCAGTATTTTTTTTTTAATTTCGTATCAATATTTTGTCTGAAAAATATTTGATTTAGTGTAAAGGTACATAAATACTAATTCAATAAATAACAACAAAAAGAAGTGAAATAAAACATTGAAAATACGAGAATGACAAGTCTAAGAAAATTACATGCAAATTGTTGCAAGAACGTTTAAGCTGCGTAACAGACGTTAAGTATAATATAATGGTAGTCTGTCTGAAATTAGGTGTAAATGAATTCGCGTCTGGTTGAAGGAATTTAGCGCATCAGCAATGATCTACGTATGTAACGTACTTACATACATACGTACGTACATAAGTTTGTATTTTATTAACATGTAAGAGTATGAACTTTCAAGGAAGGAAAAAAGAAATAAAAGTTATCACACTCACCGATGGCATCTTTGTCGTTCTCTTTCATGAACCCATAAAGCTTCCCCAAGACTATGGGTGCCACTCTGTACTCCACCCATGGTCGTTTCTCGTAAACGAGGAGACCTGTCGTAAATCCATAATTATTAGACTCCTTGCCAAAGCTATACTATACTACCTTTACGTGATCGTATTACTATTTCTCATTTATCAAGTATCGATTTTTTATTTCTCTTTTTTTTTTTTTTTTTTTTTTACAGTCTTCGTCGTCCAATTTGTCCTTTCATAAAGTTTAATCAAAAAAAAAAAAGAGATAAAAAGTGAGAAAAAAATTAGGTAATTGTACGACAAATGTTTTGTGATTTGCGAATGAAAATAAATCACTATAGTATTTACTTATTTTAATCATAAAAAAATCATGTAAAGTTAGGTACAAGTGTAATATAGTTTCTGGTTTGATCAATAGATGCCACTCTACGTTAAGTCTTTCTCACAAGAGATACGTTCGATGAAATGTTTTATATTTCGATGAGATCTTTTCACGAGTTATGTGAATCGAGATTGTTCCTTAACGTATATTTTTTCGAGAAAGGATCTTTGTCATAAGACATTGATCCAATAAAATTAACAAGAAAGCATAATAATAACTACTTTTCCAACCCTTAATCCTAATTAAGAAGGTCTTGATATGATCTTATCACATTAATCTACGATAATCTCATGTATATTCATAATATAATACACATTATACTCTACACGCACTCTCTCTCTCTCCCTTCAAGTAAACTTAATTATGTAAAATCATCCTTTTCTCCTTTATCTTCTAGATTAATCTCATTGTCAGTAGTTGACACTTTATACAGTTTTCTTATATTACTTTCTATAAGTTTTCCTTCTGTAATAAAGTTCAAATCCCGTAGGTGTCTACTTTATCTTTCCGCATATCAACAAATGATTGGTCGAGAGAGAGAAGTGAAGAAAAAATAAACATTCGGACATTGTTTTGAAAAACTTTTGTTTTCTTGAAAACCTATCTTTACTACTCTTCGTATATCATATCCTCTTTTTATCAAACGCCGCGTTAATCCTAAAAGAAAACTTTTGCTAAAAGTTTGAACATTCATGTACACACGGAACAATAACAACCACCTACCCTTAGAATTAGTTTTGTTGATCGCATGCAAAATCCTTCGATTAGTAGTTCATTTTTCCCATGGTGAAAAACTTTGATTGATTGACGAATGAAAACTAAACAATGAGAAAGATTGGAGATTCACTGACGAAAAAGATAACTTTACAAACGTAGCACGTCACTTATTAATTGGAGAGAATCTTATGGGGAACTGACTGACGAATTGTCGGAAAACTCGAGCAACAAGAAAGGTTTCCACGCCGTTTGGTTGAGCAAAAGAGTATGAAGTGGTAGAGGAGGAGAGGATTTAAAAGAAGAGAGAAGTGGTGGTAAATTTCTTTGCCACTTCCCAACCTAGAACCGAACGCACAAGTCTTTAGTCTATGTAATAGACTGAAAGTTGGCATAGAGAGAGAGAGAGAGAGAGAGAGAGAGAGAGAGAGAGAGAGAGAGAGAGAGAAAGAAAGAGAAAAAAAGAAGAGTAGGAGAGAGAATAAGTGGGGGGTGAAAGAACTAATTGTCGGACGTTGCCTATTCGTTTTAAAGGAAGCGCAATTAAGCCGAGACCGAATTTTCTTGCGAGACTGCATCGATTTAAACTTATAATATATCTGTTATATACAAAGTAATTTTGTTTTTTAATGAAATATCAAAATAATCTCGGATAAAGAAAAAAGATATCTAATATTTTTATCTCATAAATTGAAGAAATATTTATTTTGAATGTTTATAGGATGAGTTTTCTTAATTGAGGCATCTTTATATTTTAGAAAAAAGAGGATAATCTTGTTACTTTTGTTCACTATGGATCGAGGATTTTTTATTCAAAAATGTATTTATTTTTTCTTTCCAAAAATCTGTTGTTATCGAGATATTCAGGTATCCCGATTCTCTCTCTAAAAGAACTTACCTATATACAAAAGTTAGATAAAAAAAAGTTTAAAGTAAAAAGTGTTGGTGTTTTTTTCCTTAACTAAGATGCTGTTACAAAAATTATAAGTTTCCAAGAAGTTGACTTCATATTTTTCTCATATTTGTTTCTTAAAACTGAACAACTTTTGTTTCCAACATTATTTTGTCAAAGCTGCTTTTTTTGAGATACTGAAGTATTTCAATTTAAAAATCTGTATATTATATCCTGTAATACTTGGATCAAAATTTCGCAGATAAATTTTTGTTTGTTTTAAAAACAAAAATGAGATATGACATTATTATAATTATAATCTTTTGTAATCTTTTTATAATGAAAATAATTCGATAAAAATCTTCGATCTATATTAAAATTATTCGAAAGTTATGAACGATGATAACGATTACTTATTATTGTAATAACATTATTGTTGAGAGTAGATGACGTAAGATCTCACAGAATTATCGGTGTCCGGTCGAAACGAACATAAAATCAAACAACTATAACGTTACATCCTTCGTTACCTTTTTTCTTTCTTATGGTTTTTATTTTTATTATTATAAATCCTTTTGCAATCGAATGCATCTAGGAAATAGAAACTTGCACGTATATATTGAGGAAGTTGTATTCAGAATTTGACGGAGAGATCAACTTTGGAAACATTTCGTAGAACACAATGCATACTAGATACATCATATTTGTTGTTTTTGAAGACCAATCGGTATTCGAGAGATTTATAGTTTACTCGTAGTTTCATTTCTCTCGCAAAACTGAAATCCTCTCGGATTTCCTAGCAAATCTTTTATAAGCGTGAAGAAAACGTGTTTAACTTAAAGCCCTATCGCAATTTCCTACTTCCCAATATCCTTTCTTGTCAATACTTATATTAACTTTCATGAACATTGAAATATCGCTCTCTCTTTCTCTCCCATAGTATTAGTAGAAGTAGAATCAATTGAACAATAATAATATTCAATGCTGTTCAAATTGTATTCCACGTTGGTTTCTCAAAATTATTTGAAGTATATTATATCTCATAGTAACAAATTATCAAAATATTGTATTCTGAATTAGAATGAATTCTGTGCCATAAATAAATATTAAATTGGTTTTTAAAAAGCACCGAATTAATTTGTACATCTATAGTATAATATAATTAGAGTATATATAATTTATGTTATATGTTATTATATATAGAATATGTACAAATTATAGTGCAAATTTCATTGAAATTCTTCATTAATAAAAATAAAAAGGGTCTATTTAATGATGTATAAAATAGTAAGAAGAGATAAATTCAAGACTCTTCTTGGCAGGTTCTTTTAGTTAAAATCGTGTCAGTTGGCTGGCATTTTCTTTTCTCGAATTTCCGTCATAAGATCGAAAATCGTTCCGGAATTGCGGATGCATCTGAAAAGAAAGAGAGAAAGATATAACAGCACATGCGCGTTTCAACATACACGTGTCTACATACTCACATGCATATATGCAATCATGCATACGTCTATACATATATAGGAAAATACATGGAAACGTTTGTACGGGATAGAAAGAGATAGAAAAGGACGCGGATCGACGCTCAGTTCCGTTCTGCTTACAGCGAAACGTTTCACCCTTTCCTCTTGGACCCCTCGCTCTTTTGATCGTTCATTTTATTCCGTTCTCCACACTCTGATACCTTCCTCCGCCGTTTCAACGGCTTCTAACCAGGTTAATGTGGCCTCAGGTTCTCGATCATGTTCCCTCCCTTGTTATCACGCAAACGAATTCGCACGAACAACCGGTCAATCTAACTATGGTTGTAATATATGTCAAGCTCTTTGTCATTAGATCAGGTGTGATAACATCACCTTTACCTTTAACGTATTTAAACCTTATCACATTCCAAAATAATTACAATACATTTCAAGTTGAAACTATTTCAATCAATTATTTCACATTGAAATAAATTTGATTGTAAACTTTTTTAACGTGGTTTATAAAAATGTTTAATAATTTTACTTAAATATATTGTTATTTGTTATTAAAAAGATTTTATAACAAGTGATATTCATATTTAATGTTAAACAATCGTTGATTTGTTTGTTTAGAATTTAGGAAAGATGAAAAGTAATGACAAGAAAAAATGAAAAACCAAGCAGACGAGTAAAAGAATCGCGTGCAATATTTTTAGCATGTTTCCTTCTCACGCGAAGTATCGTTTTTCCGTACGCTCCTGCTCATAATCATTTTTAACCGTCCGAGAATAATTTGTTTCCTTAATAAAATCTTATCTATGTAAGGACATTGATCCGAGTAGGAAGGATTCATTTCTAATTGAATTTTTAATCTTTCGTTTAATTCAATTTTCAGTTCCTAACGTTACCGTGACATATCAAAGGGGACTGCCAAATATTACTTTACCTCTGCCATCGAGAAAGGAATACTGTATATTCGCATTGAAGCCAATTACTTGTACAGTCGGTGACTTCATCGATATGATCAAAAATGAAGATCGTGGGATTGATCGAGCGATCATTACAACGATAGGTATGATCATATATTCATTTTAATAATAATCACAAAATATATATTATTGTAAATTGATTTAACCACTTTTTATTTCGAATAAAAAACGAAATTTTGTCATTAAAAAATAATCGCATAATTAAAGTCTTGAACCTGCTTGTTAATTGTTTATGTCGCGTCATAAATAGTTAACTGGTTAAATAAATATAATAATTACTAATATAAAAATGTATATAATACATAAAATAACAAAATATTAATATTTAATATGAAACTCTAATTATTTTTAGATGGTATCCGGATAGGTTCGAGCAACACGATAGAGAATCTCTTACAACGTGAATTTAAATTAATAATAAATGATATGGAATACATCGTGCAACCACCATTATATCAAAAACATACGATGGTAAATATCGATATTTCAGTGTATTTACAATCTTATTAAATTCGTAACTACTCATTATCCTCATTGTATGAATATCTAAAACAGGAAACTATGCAGAAGCTATCGGACGTGCAAATATTGGTGGGGCAACTCTACGAGAACTTACAAGTACGTGAATATCATGCTGACATGGAGAGACAAGTTATAGCAGAGTTGGAAGATATCAAATTGCAGTTGAAACCGTACGAACAAGTAAGAAAAAATCTTCCCAGTAGACACATTTATAAACTATTTATTCTAGAATAAACCCAGTTGTAATTTTACGGAATTTATAAAGTTTCTTATTTCAATCACGTGTCGGAGATTTGAAAGAGAGAATTGGGAACACGTTTTTCGTTACATTTTCCATTTTCTCTCGGGTCGTGAATTTACCTGGGCATTTTACAGTCTACCTTTATTTCTATTTAACCATTTCATTCACGAACCTACTTCTACTTCTTCTTCTTCTTTCTCAATTTTTTCGTTTTCTTTACCTTCTTATATGTAGCTCAATGTTATTTGATGTTTGATACGCTCAGTTAACAGAAAATAATATATCTTTTAAGTTAACTTTAACCGTTGGCTATTTACCTTCAAATCGTTTGCTCTATATAAGCTCACGATTATATTAGAGTTGCACTTTACGATGATACATTTTAAACACGATGATGGAGTTATCAAAGTGATATCGAATTACCTTTGAAATTTAAACCAATATAGTTTTGATCTATTATGTCATGAACTTTCATGCTAATATGTATATATTATATTTACATATGCATCTCATGTATAAACTTTTGACCTCGATGAAACAGAAGCTGCAAGAGTTGGAAAATGCAGCTATCAGAAGGGCAAATTTCAATGCTTGGATAGCGTTAGTGTTGATGTCAGTACACGCTGGTGGTTTTGCGAGACTAACTTGGTGGGAATATTCTTGGGATATCATGGAACCTGTTACTTATTTCGTTACTTATGGAACTGCCGTTGGTTGGTTCATTTATTTCCTTCTGACGCAGCAGGTTTGTTAAACAAAAAAAGAAAATTAAAGAAAATTTTGCTTCTATTTATACAGAAAGTAATTTTTCACTTATTATTATTATTATCAGCATGGTTATATAATAATAAAGACAAAAACTATATTTATAAATTAGACAATACGATAATTAATTTCAACGGATTATTTCAAATATAATTCGTACGAAATGTATTTGAAAATAATCTAACTATTGCATGCATGTTTATGAAAAACAATAATATCGGAGGACATGGAAAGGAAAATATATTTCTAATAATTATTTTGTATTTTCTACAGGAATACGTGCTGCAGGACGTAGTGAACAGGCGACGTTTGATAGAACTTCACAAAAGAGCGAGGCAAATCGGATTGGATATTGAGGCGTATAATCGTTTGAAGGATCGAGCATACGATTTGGAGAGTACATTGAAAGTGATTCGAGGTCCTTTATACGAACGAAGACTACAAATGGAAGAGAAGAAACGAAGATATAGCTCTAGCAGTTCGAGATCGCCTAGTTCCTCACCTAGTCCTAGTCCTAGTCCTAGCCCTAGTCCACAAAGAGACGTTCCTGAAATGGGAATTAAAATTGAAAAACAGGAAACATCGAAGACACTCGACAAATTTAGATAAGTTATCGTGAATTACCAATTTCAGTCAGGGTTATTAAAAAAAAGGAAAAGAAAAAAAAAGAAACAACACCGAACGCTTAATCACGTAACAAACGTCAACGATCATTGTTAATGAACTGAACAAACATTTAATCCTATATTAAAAGAAAGAAGAAGAAAAAGAAGAAGAGGAAGAAGAAAAGTTAAAAGAAACAACAACAAAAAAGGAAAAGATAAAATACTCTTGAGTGATAACTATTATTGATCATTTAGGACGAATACCTCGAGGAAATCGAAGCTGAGTACGAAGATATTTAATAATACGTGACTACTACTTCTAGTTTTCTTTTTATCTTTTCTTTTTCTAGATTATTTGTTTTTTTTTCTTTTATTGAAAAAAGAAAAAGAGAAAACTAATACGACTGGTGGTGTCTTCGTCGCAGTCTTCCGAGTATGTCGTTAGAACAATAAACGACGTTCCTCAACTCAACGATTTTAGTATATTATTAATTATTAATTATTATTATATTATATATATAAGAAAAAGGGCCTGCACAATGGTCGATACTGTCGGTTGTGATAGGTTCGAATGAATAATAAGAGATAACAAAGAGAACGAAATCTTACGCGATTCGGTCTTCCGTCTGTTTTCGTCTCGTGCGAATTATATTATTAAAAATGTTTAATCAGTCGACCGACATTCTCTTCTTTCATGATGCATCGAAACCTCCATAGAGGAGGAGGGGGGAAGGAGGTGAAAAAAGTATATACAAATGAATTTTTATTATAGTTGAAAGACTTTTCAATCTTTTAGCTTCTAATTTTAGCACAAAAAAGCAAATAGGCTTTATAATATAATTATTATTTATTAAAAATTCCTTTTAAAATATATATAAATATATTCCTTTGATTTCGTACGATTATCTTTAGACTACAATTTATAGTTATATTATTCTTTAAATCTTAAATAATTAAAATATTTGTAATTAAATAATTGAATCTACGATCAGCTACGTAACATGCACAAATACCGTAATCGTCATATTTAATTACACGTTTATATTCCTAAAAATTTCATTAGCGTTTAATTTCAAACGATTATTTACATTACCGTTGATCGTCGATTTCTAATGAACGATGAGGCACTACGAATTTCTACAAAGCGAATCTCACATATACTTAAGAACCATTTAATTAAATGTGTACGTACTTATTTATATTTTTTATCAAATGACAGACACATTATATTTATTTTTTCTGTTGTTTTCTTCTTCCCCGTCGAATCGCGCTTACTAAGTTAATATTTCATTGATAGTAATTACATAATAGAAAAAAAAAGAAAATAATAAGAAAGGTAAAGAAAAGAAAGAAGTGTTAAATATTATACGAACTTGTTGATAATTACACGTGTACACGTTATTTCTAGACAGTAAGTGTTAATGTTAGTATTGGACGATTTCGATTAAGAATAACCGGCTTCATATTGATTATAAAAAAAAGAAAAAAAAAAACAAAACAAAAATCTTCGATATAATTTTTAAAATCTAAATTCATTCTATATTTATCTTTCCTCTTATATTATTAGCCTATACCATTTAACTATTACTTCTACTATGCCCATTAACTATCCTATAGCATTCTGGGAATATTTTCCATGAAAGTATTGTATGTATGACTAAACGTTGAAAGTAGATTACTCTTATAGGAATCTCTGAAGGAACTTTTTCTCTCGCTTTCGTAAAAGTCTCCTCACATTCTATCTATCCGTCCGTAATCGTGAAGTTACTACCGTGAAATACTCTTGGATCACTCATATTAACGCTTCTCTCTCTCTCTCTCTCTCTCTCTCTCTCTCTCTCTCTCTCTCTCTCTCTCTCTCTCTCTCTNCTCTCTCTCTCTCTCTCTCTCTCTTTCTCTTTCTTTCTCTAGTTTAAGAAAAAAAGAAGAGAAAAAAAATAGAAAATAAGACGGAAATAATTATACCTCGTTGTACTTATTTAACAGAGTAATGTATGTTACGAATAAGAGTCTAACCCCTTTCCCTTCCCCCTCATTTGGATGATTATTTATTATTCTCCTCAATCGAAAGTATAAATCATTTTCTCCAAACTTTTACCGCAAATGCAATACAATTAATTATACTTTGGTGAAATTTTTGTTCTTACTTTAATTGACAAGCGAAACGACAATTATTTAAAATTTATGTTATTTTATTTTTATTTGTTTTTGTTTATCTTCTTACATTTTCCGAAACGAGAGTCGTAAAATGAGTGAGTCGCTTGCGAATGATCGAACAATCGAACGATCGATAACCGTGACGGAAATCATTCACCTCTCAAACTGTTCTTTTAGATCTTTCCTAATTATTCTATCGCTATTAAAAAAATAAAATAATAATAATAATAATAATAAATAGATCATCTGTACTCCTTTTTATATGCACTTCCTTCTACTAGACTTATATTTAAAAAAAAACATTTGGCACGGGATTAGGATAAAGAGTGTAAAGAGATAAAAAAAAAAAAAATAAATAAATAATAATTATCAGAGAAAAAATAGTATCTGCGATTTAACTGACGAAAAATGTAAAAGCTTTGCGAAAAATGTTGATATAGAGAAATGTATCGGAAGCGAAATATTTGACGTAGACAATTTCACGCGAGAAATTTTATCTAGTAAATGAACAATGGAAATAAATATAAAACACATGCTTTCTACAAGCACGTTGCACGCATTCTAATTAAAAAGACACACATACGTAGACAAACCCATAATCTCTTAGTGCCAATTTAACAATCTATAATATTTCTACGTCAAAAATCTTGATATTTCTATTTATTTGATCAGTATACTTTGATTAATATATAATTATATAATATAAAATATAATGATATATTTTGTTTATTATAAATAACTATATATCATTATATTCGTCAATACGATATTGTTTAATTATATTTATGTTATTATATACTGATATTTCACCATAAATATTGATAAATATTTGTATTAATATACGGACAATTATTTTTATTAATTGATTAATAAATTATAATTTTATTTATTACAATTAATTGGCCGCTTATATTAATTAATTAAATGAAAAATGCTGATCTGAGATAAATATCTACCGAATCTTGATACCTTCGAATCCAGAAATGAAAAAGAATTTGTAAAAAAAAGGAAAAAGGAGGTAGAGAAAAGGACGTGATGATAATTTGATTAATATAATAGAGAATCGTCGATCCTTGCAAAGCCATCACTATTTAACCCGAAAAAAATTTTTTACAATCGTTAATAAAAGATTTTCGTATATGAAAAGATTTTTGTACATATACATTACATATATTAAAAATAAAAATACAAATATGGTGTATAAAAGATATACGCGGTATCATCCTAGTTATTTTAATTAAAACAAATTATCTTCTCGCGCCGATTTTTACTAATTACAAGCTTGATTATTATTATATATATATATATATTTACATATTATCTATTATACATATACGAGTATGCCTGAAATTCTTCGAAAAATCGATTAATGATATTTAATTACTTCAATAAGAAAGAAAGAAACATATTGCGTTTATTATTATTCTATATATATATTTAACACATTTTTCATCGATTCTCTTTAATCATATTCGCGTATGAAATTGTATAAAAAAACAACAAAATTTTTCCAAAGAAAAAGAAAGCACAAGTGTGTTACATTGAGACATAATTTAATTTCAAGCTTTTTCCATATACGTACAATATTTATGGTAATCAAAGGATTTTCTGTAATTATTCTCTCTCAAAAATGAGACTTTATTTATACATTTTTGATTTTATAGACACGACTGTATTTATCGATCGAGTGACGAATATACGTAATTATGAAATGTTTAAGTGCGTGGAATTTATTGTTAAAAGAACAAAAAAAAAAAGATAAAAGAAAACATTAAATACAATATCTACTTCATATGGAATTTCTAATTACCGCGTATAATATGCGCGCTAAAAGTTAGAAAAAAAAAGAAACCGAACAAACAAAAAAATTAATATTTTATCGATTACGGTCGTTTCTAAAACGCTTCGTAATGTTTCTGCGTATGTAAATAATTATTCTGATATATACATATACATATATTTATTCAATTCAGAGTTCTGCTGTGATGTACGTCCATGTACCTACTTCTACATAAAAAGAGAACAGGAATACAATGAAATATATATACATTTAAAATCAAAATTATAAATCAAATTTCTCTCTCTTTCAACATAACACCTCTCCTAAAATTTTTTTCTATTTAATATTCCGGAAATTATTTCTTTATTTTTTATTATATTTAATTTAAAACTTTAAATATCTCTTATTACAGTGTATTTTAAAATCCTATTTAAAATTCACGAGTATTTGCATCATTTTAATTGTATTTAATGTGATGTAATGTGTTGTTGATATGTAATGTGTATTTTAATGATATACGTACATAATAGTACGCGTTTTAAATATCCCGCCAATTCGCGCGATACTACTATTAATATAATATATATTATTTTCCTAATGCGAATAAAATCTTTTTATTTGTATTTTCAGTATCGATAATACATTTTTTATAGCTAAATGTATTGATCCTCGATGATATAAGTACTTAACAAGGAGTATTATAAGCAACAGCTATATCTTTGATAGCTTGTAGTAAATGTTTTATTGTATATGCGTTTCATAATTTTAAATAATTGAGAACAATGCAGAAAATGTTTAATATGCATAAAAATAATTTTATTTTTTAATACTAAAATAAAATAATAAATATATCATACGCGATAATTATCCTAAAGCGTAAGGAGGAGTACTAGCAGTAGTAACTTCGTAAACTCCAACAGCACTATAAAATTAAAAATAATAATTAACTTTAACTTAAATTTAATTAACTAAAAATAGAGAAATATTATATAAGATTAAAATGAGTACTTACGATGTATCGAGAGTAGGTCCACCCATGTTTGCAGTAAGACAGGAAGTAAATTCACTGCATCTAGTACCTTTGAAACCATTAGCATTTAAAATGGATTCGGCATAATATTCATATGATTGTGCATGAGCACAATCTCCTATTAAAAGAGAGAAAAAATATTATTATAAGAAATAACTCAGCTTAAAAATAGATTAGAACTAAAAGTTACAGAACAACAAAGTTACCGAATATATCTAAATAACCACATCCAGGTTGTGACTTTCCACCATTCACAATGAAATCTGATGTACCAAAATTACCATCTAAGCCTAATTTTCCAGAACTAGTATGAATTACTTGTACGTATTCAGCATGAGATTTATCGATTCTTGTATTCTCATCAGCATCGCTGTAACCTCGTCTAACAGGATCAAGACCTAACAGTAAAATCATAGTTAAATAATTTCTTAAAGAAAAGGATACTTTTTTATTTCTTTTTTTCTTCTTAAATAAATATTTCTCAACATACCAAGTACTTGTCCAATTTTACCGTCAGCATATTTTGCTGAGAGTGAGATAAGATGTGCACCCAAACCGTGACCAACCAATAATGTTTCATCAAAATCAAGTCCGCCAATAGCATTAATAAAATTTAAAAATTTAGCCACATATTTGGCAACGCCAGGTATACTTGCTTTAGCTTTAAAGTAAAAATCAGTTGCGATAGGTTCCCAATCAATTACGATGACATTGAAATCGCCTGCTGTTAGAAAGGCTATACAAATATAAAATCGATATCAATTTCTATGTGAGGAAAAATGATTTTTAAAAATGTTCACTTATCATTAAATTTACATACCATTACGAATTTTTGCGCAAGGTGTACTGTAACCATTATCGAGCCAGCCATGTGTAATGAATTTTGTATGTTTAGTTGAATTCCACGTGGAGTTAGAAAGATTTTGCGCGTCGAGAAATTTTAAATTATAACCTTTGGGATCTTTTCTAAAATAACACACATAATAATTTTAAGATATATATTTCACATTTTTAAAGAAATTATTTATTTATAATATAACTATAATATATATAACTATATATATATTTTTTTATATTATTATACTAATATTCTTTAATATCTTTTGATCAATATTATAAATACTGACAAAAACTATTATTTATACCAAAAATATAGTATTTGTATATACTGACATTTATATTTCGAAATTGTGACCAAAAATATTTAAAAATGTTAAATTAAATAAATAAAAGAGTCATACTTACTGTGTATATAGTAGAAATTTAACCCTCGATAATACTTCAATCAAGTCTATAAGATCGTCATTGCTTGGTATGGATTTACCAGCAATGGTAGTAGGAATACCATCAATTATGGCAAAGTACAGTGACAGCGTACAAAAAACTAAAATTATAAAGTAAAATATATTTAACAACAAAAACTTTTTTCTTTTCTTTCAAATTAATTCACCTTCTGTTCGGTTTGAGAAAGATTCAATAATACTAACATGCTAAGAATACGAACGGAGTTCCCATCGTAATAGTGTCGAATGTGTATGTGTTGGAGAACGTCTCTACTTCTTTCTCAGCTCGTCCAATTCGTTTCTTTTATACTCTTCCTAAATCTCATTCTTACTATTATCTATTATTTTACTACAATGTTCATTAATTAGATGTTTTCATCAACGAATTTATTTTTCCACATCTGTTAAAACGATCTAAAGAATAGTATGTTAATACTTATTATGAAGAGCAAATAATTACATTTCAAGCGTGGCGCTTTAAAAATTTGTATGTTCACATGTACATGTGTAAAACATTCTTTATTCAATCAAATTTCATAAAAAGCACGGGCCATTCAACACAATCATAAATATAAGGAAATTATGATTGCACGTAATAATTGATATTTATTGTATGCACTTATCTCTCTGCACTGTTCATAACAGCTAGCGGGGAAAACAAATCATAATCAATTTCACAATATTTTAGCATATATTGAAAGATCAAATCCTGTTTGTTATCCCTGAACGAAAGGAAAATCTAATATCGCAAGGTTGACTACATATATAAGTTCGCTAAATAAATTAATTTATTATTTGTTGTTTTCTTTTCTTTTTGTTATATTTCAACAATATCAAGAATATTTCGTAAAATATTTTATTTGATCTCTTCACACCTGTACAATCACACCTACTTTTTTCTTATCTATTTTTTCTTTTCAAAATATCAAGGTTACTTAATAATAGTTTTCTCTTTACTTTTCACACATGTACAATCATAACAGTATAAACTGTTTATTTTTATTTCAGTAATTCAATTTATTAACTTATCATTTTTAATTCGATTTTTAGGTCGATACATTTATCACTTTGTCAATCGATAAACTGTGGCTACCGAAGCTATTTTTAAATAAATAAGTAACAGTCAATCTGTGCGTAAGCCAGGATTTCCATTATCCTGTCGAAGTTCTACAAACGTCTGTCAAAATACTTTCATATTCGCTTAAAATCTGTTGCGTAATAACAGATTTTAATCTAGGATAGGGATGAGTCGAATTGCATAGTTTTCGATATTATTTTGGATCGTAAGAATCCTGCTCGAAGATGCAGACGAAATATCATAGCATATTTGTAAAGGACCTAAAACTGGCAAACAATCCCATAGATCACTCGAGAGGTACAACGAACCCTTCGACCAGCAGACCTCTCAACTGATTTCGGCATGCTGAGTAACACATGCGTTCCTACCAAGAGAAAACGAAGTCCTTCACCCTAAACTAAGTCCTTTCCCGTTGCATAGTTTTTCCATTACCACATTCCCTAAAAAACATTAACTTTCTAAACGATAGATGCTTTATTTTTTCAATTTTTAAGCAAAATCGAGTCAAGAACATACGTGTCTTATTTTTTTCTATGATAAAGCCATTGTCTCCACTTTATCTATGCAATTACCTAAAGATAGTGTACAAATAGATGAAATAAATTGAACTACAATATTTGTATTCAGTCTGTTCTGTTTGTTACCTTTTACATTTTCTCTCACGAATCCTTTTAATATACATATCTTTTGTAAATTAATATATCTGTCGAATCTAAATAGTCATCTGCGATAAAGAAGTTTCACTTCGAAAGCGCGGACTGAGTTACCCGCGCTATTTTTTTCAATTTAATATTCTGAAAATTATTTATTTTTTGTTAGATATAATTTAAAAGCTTAAATATATCTTATTACAATGTATTTTTAAATCCTATTTAAAATTCACAAGTATTTGCATTATTTTAATCTATATTTTATTGAAATGTATATGTGTACGTGTACACATAGGTTTCTCCTCGTTTTAAATATCCCGCCAAGAGCGGCTAAGACTATATATACGCAAGAAATACGAACACAACTAATCGAAACGCAACTACTATGACCCTATTTTCATTTGCGCGCCATATGACGGTCAAAATGGATCTCTTGTGTGTTGCCATTGAATTCTTTAAACATTTTTAATTTTTCTCATCGATTTAATGAATTATCCTAATAAATAATAATTGTAAAGTATGTTTAATACGAATTTGATTTTTCTTATTTATTAATTATCGATAATTAATTTTTCGTGTCAACAAAACAAATCTTATCATTCGAGCTTTATTTTATATTTCTATTTATTTATAATAAATTCAAGTTAATATTTAAATGACTGATTTTTTATATAAAAAATATATATATATATATATAGTATTCAATTTTTAAATTTATTTAATTGATAAATTAGTTTGTATATATATTTTCGTATAATTTGACGATCCAAGAACATCGAGAACAGCGATATCTATTCAAAGATCAAGGCATCACATCATCGGATAAATAATTCTTATTTTTAATATTTTATAGAAATATATAAAATCAAAATCTAGGACTAATAATCATTATATTTAATTCCTACAAAATGATATTTATTATAAACACAATTTTATAAAGCTAGGTTTTTATGTAAATTAAAATTTGTAAAATATAGTTCCATTATCAGGTTTATATGTCATATTGGTAGCCTTGTTCGCAGTTGTCAAACTTCAGTTCAGTTGAATTTAGCTGACAAGATCTTGAATCTTACCTTGACTAATATCTATTTGAAATTTCTATAGATAAGTTTTATTTGGTGAAAATCAAGATGAATATCACGTCTGCAGGTAAATTATTACTTGAAAATCGTATAGATTATTGTAACGATTGTAAATTATTTTATAAATTAGATTTTCTTTTTCATTCTTTGACAACAGTTACTACTGCATGTATAATGATTTGCAAATCCTGTGTTCCCTAACCTACAAATTTATAACATTCTTTTTAGTGTTTAATATTATTTGTATTTTATTATAGTTAAATTTTTAAATATAAAGCTCATTTGATCTAATAATTATTTAACTATATTTTTACAGCTGGTATTATATCTCTGCTGGAGGAGCCAATGCCGGAATTAAAGGTGTTTGCTCTGAAGAAGCTGGATATGATCGTGGATGAATTTTGGCCTGAAATTTCTGAAGCGATTGAAAAGATGTATGTGAATAGTTTAAATGTCGTTGATATAAAATAGATTATAGAGATCAATGAAGTCTGTTTAATATTTTAGTGAAATTCTACATGAAGATAAGTCGTTTAATCAACACGAATTGGCTGCATTAGTGGCCAGTAAAGTTTATTACCATCTAGGAAGTTTTGAAGATTCCCTTACTTATGCTCTTGGTGCAGGTGAACTGTTTGACGTTAATGCTCGCAATGAATACGTTGATACTACCATAGGTATAACATATTTTATTTTCTTAGTACGAATAAAAAACTTTCCTTTGTATTCTCTATATTGATAATATCATTTTTATAGCTAAATGCATTGATTATTATACTCAACAACGAGTATTGGAAGCTGAAGGAAAATTACCACCCGGTAGTAAGGGAATAGATCCAAGACTTGAAGGAATTGTTAATAGGATGTTTCATCGTTGTCTAGAAGACAATCAATATCGTCAGGCACTTGGTCTTGCTCTTGAAACACGCAGAATGGATGTTTTTGAAGCTGCTATTATGCAATCTGTAAGAAACAAAGTAAATATTTTATATTATTTAATATCAAATGAGAGAGGTTTTATATAATTGCTTTTTCCTTTTTCTTTTTTTTTCTCTTTTTTTTTCTCTTTTTTTTCTCTTTTTTTTGCGTTTTTTTTTTTCTTCTTTTTGTTTCCATACAGGATGATATAAGCGGCATGCTGTCATACGCATTCCAAGTTGTTATGAGTCTTATTCAAAATAGGGGCTTCCGTAATACTGTACTACGTTGCTTAGTAAACCTTTATCGTAATTTGGGAACACCTGATTACGTTAATATGTGTCAGTGCCTCATCTTTCTTGATGATCCATTAGCTGTCGCAGAACTTTTAGATAAACTTAGCAAAGGTTCACAAGATTGTGTCTTGATGGCCTATCAAATTGCCTTTGATTTGTATGAATCAGCTACGCAACAGTTCCTTGGTCGTGTTTTACAAGCATTGCGAGCCACTGCTCCGATACCATCAGCTCTTATGGTAAAACCGATTATTAAGCCTGCTGCTAAACCAACTGCTGAAACTAGTTCTAATTCTACCAGTATGGAGACTGAAAGTAGTACACCAGTAGTAGAAGAAAAGACTCAACGTAGTATCGACAGCTTAGTACGTATATGTTTATTGGAACTGTTTCCTTAAATTTGTCTTATTGTTAGATGATTATTTTTGATTGATTATTTGTTTTTAGAGTCCTGAAGAAAAGGAACAGCAAGAACGAGTCGATGCTTTGTCCAGTATTTTGGGAGGAGAAGTATCAATTGATTTACATTTACAATTTCTAATTCGTAGTAATCATACAGATATGTTAATATTAAAAAATACAAAGGATGCCATACGTGTATCCATTTGCCACACTGCCACAGTGATAGCAAATGCATTTATGCATTCTGGTACTACCAGTGATCAATTTTTACGGTATGTCTTATAGTAAATATTTAGTATATCATATTTTTATGTAGGTTTTATAAATGATTGATTTTAATTTATAGAGATAATTTGGAATGGTTAGCTCGTGCTACAAACTGGGCCAAGTTGACAGCAACAGCTTCGTTAGGTGTTATTCACAGGGGTCACGAACAAGAAGCATTAGCATTAATGCAATCTTATTTGCCACGTGATACTGGAGCTGGTGCAGGTTATTCGGAAGGTGGTGGTCTTTATGCACTCGGGCTAATTCATGCAAATCATGGTGCTGCCATAACAGATTATCTGTTAGGTCAACTAAAAGATGCACAGAATGAGGTATTGTCAGAAATTGTCTTTTATAAATATATATTTTCTTCTTTATATCTTTATATTTTGTTTATATCTTTACTTAAAAATAAACATCTAAAATTTTAGATGGTCCGTCATGGTGGTTGCTTAGGACTTGGTTTAGCGGCCATGGGTTCTCATCGTCAAGATGTATACGAGCAATTGAAATTTAATTTATATCAAGATGATGCAGTTACTGGTGAAGCAGCAGGAATTGCAATGGGAATGGTCATGTTGGGTTCTAAATCTCCGCAAGCTATCGAAGATATGGTAGCGGTAAGTGTATTTTATGTATACATATGTATATATTTCATAATTTCAAATACTAGAAAAAAATCGCGTTTAAATATATCGAAAAATTATTTTATTAAAATATAATACGTATTTACAATCTTTTGATATAATAAAAAATATCACAATAATTATCCTAAAGCAAAAGGAGGTTTACTGGCAGTGGGCAGCATGTAAGCTCCTTCAGCACTACAAAATTATAAATAATAATTAATTTTAAATTAATAAATATGAAAAATAAAATAGAAGTATAAGATTATAATGAATACTTACGAATGATCAAGAGTAGGTCCACCCATGTATACGCTCGGACAGGTAAAAGGTGATTTATTGCACGTAACGGGAGTAGCTCGGAAACCGTGACGATTTACAATAGATTCGGCAAAATATTGATATGATCTTGCGTGAGCACAACTTCCTATTAAAAAAGAACAAAAAATACTATTACAAGAAATAATGTAGCTTAAAAAGGGAGTAGAATTAAACTTGATAGAAGAACGAAGTACCTATTATATCCCATTTACTACATCCAGGTTGTAACTTTCCACCGTTCATATGGAAATCTGACGAACCAATATTACCTTTTAAACCTAATCTTCCAGCATTTGTATGAATTATTTGTACATAATTGGCATGAGATTTATCGATTCTTGTATTTGGATCACCAATATGGTAACCTGGTCCTGCTGGATCAAGACCTAGCAGTAAAATCATTATTAAATAATTCGTTGAACAAAAATATATTTTTTTGTTTGTTTTTTTAAATGTATATTTTTCAACATACCCAGTACTTCTTCAATTTGACCATCAGTATGTTTAGCTGAGAGTGAGATAAGATGTGCACCCAAAGAGTGACCGATCATTAATGTTTTATCAAGTTCAATTTCGCCCAAAAAGTTAAGATAATCTATAAATGTACCTACGTATTTGGCAACGTTAGGTATACATGCTTTGACTTTACTATAAATTATGTTCTTTGCAACAACTCCCCAATCAATCACGATAATATTATAATCGTTTACTTTTAAAAATGCTGTATAAATAGAAAATTAATACTAATTTTTATTTAAAGAGATATAATTAAAATATAATGCATGTTTATTAAATTTACATACCATCACGAATTTCTACGCAGGAATTACTATTGCCATCACCGCGCCAGCCATGTGTGACGATTCTCGTAGGATTAGATCTATTCCAATTAGAATTAATAAGATTCTCCGAATCACCCAATTTTAAAACATAACCATTGGTAGGATTTTGTCTGAAATAACATACATCATTTTTTCCAATATCTTTTGGTCAATATTATATATATATACTGATAAAAATTATTATTTTTACTAAAAAATATGAACCAAAGATATATAAAAAATATTAAATAAGGTAAATATAGAAACGTCAATACTAACCGTGTATAGAGTAAAAATTTAACCGACGATAAATTAGCTGCTAATTCTATAAAATCGTCATTGGTTAACACATATTCATCAGCATCGACGAAATGTGGAATGCCATCATCGTCAGAAAAGTAATATGGTTCATAGCCATTGGCGAGGTTCAGTGATAGCGTACAAAAAACTAAAATTATAAAGTGTTATATGTTTAACAAAGGAAACTTTTCTTTTCTTTTAAAATTATTTCACTTCTTTCCGTTTCTTTTTTTCTTTTTAATATTTGTTTTCCTTATTGAATGTGGTAATACTAACTTGCTAAAAATATAAACGGAGTTCCCATTGTAATACAGTGTCGAGTGTGTGTGTCAGAGAACGTTTCTGTCTTCGTTTTCTTTTCTGCACTTCTAAATCCTTCCTTTTATACTCTTCTTGAAGCTCGCTTTTACGATTATCTGTACTTTACCACAATGTTCGATAATGCGAGATATTTATCACGGAATTTGTTTATCTACGTGCATTAATACGATTAAAAAAAAATCTAATGTTATTATTACGAAATAATTGTGTTTTCTTTTATCACAATCAGTAATCATAGGAAAGAAAAGAATCATTTGATTTTACTTTTTTAATTATTTTTTTGATTTGTTTTGTTTTTTGTTTCATCAAATCATATTGATATGTATTAGCAATCGATTTGATAGGTATAATATCTACGTAGAGATTAAATGATACTCGTCTTTGTCGTACTTTATCATTCACTTAAGAACAAAATTATCGATAAGAAAATTGTTTTTTGATCTTTAAGATAATATCTTTTCTAATTACATTTATTGTCATTAGTACAGATTGCGACTTTTTTTAATCTTCCAGATTTATCAATAGAATTTAATTTATCTCGAATACATAAATGTTTATTATACTCTATAAATTCTTTTTCTATTTGATCGATATTAAATTACATCATTTGTGATTATCTATCAAATCATATTGCGAAAACTTTTACAATGCGGTATTGATAATGTTAATAAAGAAAATTCCGATTGTGTAAATGATTTTCTCGACATACTAACTCATATTTTATTCATCGAATGTTTGTAAAGATACACTTGAAAAGTAGTGTTTTTTAATGTAAAAAAAAATTCAATCCGGTTGATACTGGAATTTATTCTATCTGAATATTTTTTTGTAATTTTTTTTCAGATAACTTGTTATGCTTAATTTTAAACAAATTTATACCCAGTAAAAAGTACTGTCAAAAAAGAGAAAAAGAGAAAGAGAGATAGTTTCTTTTTATTCATTAATTTTTCCTGCGATTTGATTAGAACCAACCTTGCTTTAAGCTATTTATACACTTAAAAACCGACTTATCTCTTCCCTTATCTTTTTTTTAACTCAACAAAGCTCAAGTCGAGATAAATCAATCTCACCTTTATATAAATAGGAAATTCAAAAAAAAGGATAAAAAGGAAGGGAAGAAAGAAAGAAAAGAGAAGAAATAAAAGTAAAAAGAGCATTTCTATTCTTTTCGCTTATAACGATCAAGATCGGAATTCGGTCAAGATTTTTTTTTAATTATTTGTAGACTTTTTCTTCTTCTTCTTTTATTTTTGTGAGCAACTAACGAAAAAAAAGTCCTACTCGAATATCGAAGAAAAATCGTTCTCTTTTCTCGCAAAAGATATCACATTAAAATTTACTTGCTATTCGTCGTATCTTTCTACATGTTTTTTCAAAACAGTTACTTTTATTTATTTAATTAGTATTTTAAAATATTTGTAGTCAGTATTTATATACAGGTTGCATATTAATATTTCATTAGAAGTATTATAATTTATTTAATTAATAAATAACAGTTTTAACAACAATGTAAATACAATCATAATCATTTAAACACGTGATAAATTGAATATCGTACTATAATAATACATATAAATTAAATTATTATTTTTTCTTGTTTTCCTATTTTAAATCCTTGTAATCATTAATTACGTTTGTTGAAAAATAAGAACAATTCGTTGATAAATATATATATATATTTATTTTTATTCATGATTTATTTTTTCCAGTATGCACAAGAAACTCAACATGAGAAAATTCTACGTGGGTTGGCAGTAGGTATTGCATTTACTATGTATGGACGTCTAGAGGAGGCTGATCCTCTCGTTTCATCCCTTTGCGCCGATAAGGATCCGATTTTACGAAGGAGCGGCATGTACACGTTGGCTATGGCATATTGTGGTACTGGAAACAATCAAGCCATACGAAAGTTACTGCACGTTGCTGTAAGTAATTCAAGTAAAATGAAACAAACCCACCAAAAATTTGATAGAATATAAAAAAAGCTATGATGAAAAAGAAAAATGCAAAACAAAAATCGAGAAGATAAAAGAGAATTTAAATTTCTTACATTTTTCATTCTTAATCCGATATTGAATTTTGCATATCGATGTCACCGCCATTGAACTTTATAGATCGGCATACTTACACGAACACTTTTATCAGGTTTCTGACGTAAATGACGATGTCCGGCGGGCTGCAGTCACTGGCTTAGGATTCCTCTTGTTCAGGTGAGTACCTGCATAGAATACTATGGTTATTATCAATGATATAGAAAATTCAAAAAAGAGGAGAAAATTCTTCTTTCGGATTAAATCGGATCATGATACTCCGATCGTGACACTGATCTTTCAAGAGTTTCATCTTATCGAGATTACCGAAAATAGATTTGATACTTAAATATTTTCGCAGAAAAAGTTATATCTTTTTATTGCGAATATCTTCTTAGGAATTAATTTTATAAAAAATTGATAATATATATTTTCTTTTTTCTTTGATGAATTTTTGTGCCGTAATTAAAATTGGCTAATAACATAGTTTTTAAGTTTATATAATAATTTAGTTGTAATCAAACAAATATGTGATGATTCTATCTTATCGATAAATCAAAAACAGTGATTTTTAAATACACGTGTAAATCAACTGTATTGTCTAGAGTATTTCTTTTTTGTAAGGTCATATTTTATCATATCAAGTATTTTACTTTGAGGAGGCTATGAACTTTCGCTTAGAACATGATATGTAACTAAAAAATATTTATTTTTCATTATTTTGTTTACTATTTTGTTCATATTTTTAGGCTTTCTTTGCACATAGTCTTTTAAAATATGAAAATTACTTTTTTTATAATTTGAGTTCGCATTTAAATCGATTTAAATGGGTACATTTATCACTTTACTTATCAAAGCCATTCTTAAATGGATAAGTAGCAATCAATCTGTGCGTAAGCCAGGATTTCCATTATCACGTCGAAGTTCTATAAACGCCTGTTAATTACTTGCGTATATGCGTAAAACCATTAGCCGTATTGTTCGTTACAATGAACGGCTTATATAATTCATGAGTTTACGCGTTTCTGTTATTTCCTTTATAGTGCAGATATTATTGAATTTTCTATACAATCATCCTCTATTGAAATCGAATTGATTCTTATTTCTCTTATATTTTCTTTTTTTTTCTTTCTTTCTTAATCGAACACTCTTTATCGAAATTTTTTCAAATTAATTTCTGACAACTCATCGTTTCTTTATCGCATTTTTGTTTCGTAAATATACTTTTTAATTACTTTTTTTTTTTTCTTATTGAAAAACAATCTATTTATGAAAGTGAAAAAAAGTTCATTCGGAAATTTATCTTTTCTTTATTGCATTATTGGTAATGTACGTATATCTTTTATATTTTTTAACGTTTACGATTCATTGTTCTCGTTTCCCTATCCTTGGGGAAGTTTTGAAAAGAATGCGTATCTTATTTGAAGGAATGACATCACGGTGAATTATTTACGGTTACTTGTCGTCGATTCCTCTTCGTTGGAAAATTAAATTTAATCCTGATGATTAATCTTCGAGAGAAGAAAGAAAGAAAAGAACTTTGACTCGATAAGAAAGAAAAATCCATTGGAAAATTTAATCTCCGATTTACTTTGTTTAACGCAACGACAATATATATATATATTTTAATTCTTCATCCATTTTTCCTCTTCAATCTTGTGTTTTTTCTTTTATTTTTTTTTTTCTCTTCTTCTTCTTAATATTTTTTCTTTTCTTTCACATCCAACCAGTAAGTCTTCATTTTGATAGATTCACTGAATCATCTCACGGTTAATCAAAAACTCAGTCACCGATAATCTCTCACAAGGAGAATAAATATTGCTATAAAATAAGATGAAACGAAGGAAAGGATACAAAATAGGAGAATGTCTTCTTTCATTGTTTTCATATTTAATTAATTTTTTGTATTCTTCCCTTTTAAGTTCTTCCCACATCGATAAGCCAATTTTCCTTAGAAAAGAGCAATCCAAGGTTATTTTTGAAAGAACTATTATGAAATTGCAAGAGTTAAATTTATTTTTTATACGTACTGTGTTTTTTATAAACAGTTAAAAAAAAAAAGAATAAATTAATTAATAATCAGTTTCAGCTGATTTTTTTTTTGAACAAATTGTATTCAATTTTTATCGTAAGTTCGACTCTCGAAGCTCATTATTGCAAATAAATCTTGGTGCAAAGTTTTTAATTACTTATAGAAAAGAGAGAGAGAGAGAGAGAGAGAGAGAGAGAGAGAGAGAGAGAGAGAGAAAATGTGCTTCTTTAAATCGTAAAGTTTAGCAGGATAAAAGATGACTTTTATTGTTGAACGATAGACATCTTATCGCGGTTGAAAACTTCTCCGCTAATTGTACCGCGAGTTCCTTAGTTCCTTCGTTTCTTCGTTCCTTCGTTCGTTTTCATTCAATTTCATTAACCAAGCACAAGACCGTATTGGATAGCGTTTGTTTCTCTCGCCCGAAAGTTTTTCGACGGTAAAAGAAACGGAAGTTTCAGTTTCCGAAATTAATTAAATAATAATAGAAAAAAAATAAAAATAAAAATAAATAAAGATTAAAAAAAGAGATTGTAAAAAGACAAGAAAAATATCAAAAAATCACTTTCGTTTCGTATAAATGAAGGCATGAATTTCTTTATTTTTCTTTCTTTCTTCTTCTTCTTTTTCTTCTTCTTTTTCTTCTTCTACTTGTATGGACGAATCACGATCCAGTAATAGAAAAGAAGATCAATAAACGAATGGGTGGTGTGGAAAGTCTTAATTGAAATACTTGTTCGATTCGGCGATCCCCGAAGGATGAAATGTCACTGGCAAATAAATTGCTACCACCTTTTATAGTCGACTATAAGAAAAAGAAAAAGAAAGAGAAGGAAGATAGCTACCTATTACGTTACGTAAAAGGGAGGCATGAAAGATTTAGCAAAATTTTTACTTTCAATAAAAAAAAAAAAAAGAAAGGAAAAAGCAATCGTATTTTTAGAACAATTCGTTTTGACACGCAACGGGACGATAGTTATTTCCATATTTAGGATCGCGTTTAATAATTTCAATATACCACGTATATTCGAATTGATCGGTTTATAATTTTCTATTAAAATTCCGTATTCAATGTTTTTATTGTTTATTTTCGTTCGACTTAACGACTTTTATCACTGTAATTATTGTTTTATTTACTATTTACTTGATTTTTGTAATAAATTAATATAAAATTAATTGCTATCTGAATTTAATTGTTAACTAACGTAATTTTTTTTTGTATGATATCTATCACGGTCGATCGATTACGGTATAAATTTGTGATACACAAATTGGTTGTACAGGTTTAGTGTCCTTATATAATATATAATTAAATATAATTTAAATATATTATTTAATTAAATTCTTCATTAATGTTTTTTTCCCATTCATTTAAAGAGTTCATTAAAATTCATTAGAAGAATTTTTAAAAATTTTATAATTAAATATAATTACAAATAAAATTATCGCGAATTGATTAAAATACAAAATATCCATAAATGTTAGTATTTGTCAATTTTTCCTAGTCAATTTAAGATAGAACGAGTTTCGGGATTTACGTTAAAATACACATACACATATAATATTAAAAGAAATCTACCATTACAAGGTAGAATTTCCTTGTATCGAGGATTAATCGTGAAGATACGTGTATACATAGAAGTACATGTGTGCGATGTTGAAACGTGAATCAAAACGAATGTAGGCCACGTAACGTTCGCTAAGCTCACTTTTAATCAATGCTTTAATCGGGAGTTTAAATGTAAATTAATTTCGTGACGGACGATACACACATAGGGTTACCATCGAGCAAATTACAGTTAGGGTTATATATGATCCGTGACAAGACTATATCTACGTGATAAATTTCTTAACAAAAATATTAAATATTAAATAAATACAGTTATAATATGATCGATACGAGAACGTTCGTGACGTTAGATTAAATACCTGATCGTTTACTTTATTGGATGAATAATTATTCTGAACGTATGTTACAGGAGTATTCGTACCTGTAAATTTTAAATAATTAATATTTATTAGTAATGCAAATGTTTCAAATTAATATAAATTTTATTATAGAGAAACATTTTATTCTTAGAGAAATATATATAATTTGACATAAATGATAACAGTATCGGTCTCATAACAGTATCCGTAAAAAATATAATGATTATTTTTGTAAGTAGAGTAATTGGCTGGACCATATATATATTTGACTTGTATTTTTTATAAGAATTTATAATTGTTTGAAATTAACAATAGTAATACGAATACTCTTGTGAATCATAGTAAATATAAAAAAATAAAAATACCGATTATTGCTTGAAAAAGTTTAGAAAAATAGTAAAAGGAGTAAGAAAGAAATAAAGAAAGAAAGGGAGAGAAAAAGGAGTAGAGGAAAAAATGGAAAGCCCTTCGGAAGCACTTACTTATCTACTCCACTTTTTGATTGGATTCGATTAACTCTAATGATAAGCCTCACGCAGGTTCAAGTTTCCTCTCGAATAAGTGATACCGAACGGCCAACGTAGATGAACGTAGTTTTCGCTATGTGGATAGTTGGATAATATCCTTAAGATGACGTTATTACCGAACTTTCATCTCGAGAACTTGCTTTTCCGCTTGTTAGCGCGTAATGCATTACCTACCCGCAACCACTCGTCCTCGTCTTCGTCTTCGTCCTCGTAGTCATCGTCGACTTTGAGACACGCTCGTTTCCCAAAGTACTCAACGTAACACCCTCTAACTTCTTTCCCGTCTTCTTACGATCCACATGTTTCACTCAAAAAAATATCTAGTTTAGTAATTGCACAAATTTTAGTATAAATACATTTTTAAGTAGTCTCGTTATTTTAGCATCCGACGAGTATACGATTTTAGATAGGAATAATTAAAAATATAAATTTAATATTTTTAATATTTATATTAAATGCTTTTTTTTGTGTGGGGAAAATGCGATGATAATTAATTTTTAATTTTTTTATTTGTTTTAATTTTTATTTCGAGCTATATCGGAAAGATGTACTGCTAAAAAATTATTCGAATAGTCTAATAACGATCATTTTTATTTGTACATATGTAGTTGGACATTTTTAATTATTTTTAATTAATATTTATTATAAAATGTTGGAATATTATGAACTCAATAATAATAATAAACATAGTA